TGTGTACATGCATGTACATGTCTAGAGAAACCAAGTGGTATTGAGAAAATAGAGGCAGTCTCTCCTTTTCAGCATACTTCACATAGCATTCTATCCTTCCCTCCATCTTCTTATGCATCTATCCCATTATTTATCTAGTTCCAAATATGTCCTCTGAGAAGTTGTTCTTGATTTCATTCAATCATTCCTTGCCTGATTCCCTATCCTCCCACTTCAGTCTAGGACTTAGTCTCCCCATTGATCCTAGGATGTTGGAAGGGGCTTCCTTGAGAACAGAGTTTAGACCTTTCATATTCTGGCACCCTCCCAGTCCAGCATAGAGTTGGGTAAAAAACCAGGGGAGGCAGGAGCCTGACACTGAGATTCTGGCAGGTGTAGCTCTAGCTAATTGAGAACAGTGGAAGATTCTCCAAAGCTGGTCTCTGACTTTCCTTCTGGACTTCAGAATGCAAATGCAGAGCATAGAGGAGTGGATCCAGGAAGAAGTTGGCTTTCTACTGAAGGAATTTCAGAACACCAACGGTATGGATGCCAAAAGGTAGAGGGCTACGAGGGAACTGGGTGATTGTAGGGGTGTTCAATCTCCAAAGGAGAGGTTTTGGTGAGAGAAAGCTCTGGATTGGAGAGGATGAGAAAAGGTTACTTTAGGATTCACAGATTTTTCCAGTCAGGGTCCATGTTAAACATTAAGATGAAAGGCCCTTAATGATCCTTGTGTCTATAACTTTAATCAGTGCATGGCAGGCAGTCTGTGAGCCCCTGAAATTGCGTGCAGACTTTGGTAACATGTGAATTTGTGTTTTTTTGTGGAGAAAGGATCAAAGTTTCATTACATTTAACAAATTATTTTATTGAGGTCACATTGGTTTATAACTGTGTAAATTTCAGGTGTACATCATTATATTTTGGCTTCTGTATAGACTGCATCAATCACTATGTTTTAAAAGGAGTCCAATACATTCCCAATGATAAGTTTAGAAACCCCAAGAGTTTATATAGAAAAGACACAGAGGTTGAGAAATACAGAGATAAATAAATGAGTGAAAGGGAGACTAATTTCTCTAAATCAGAGGTTTCTCACCTGGGATCTGTGGATGGCTTAACAGGGCCTACCTGAAAGCTTTGAATGTCTATGTATGCACAGTAATCATTTGTAAAATTGTATACTTGTTAGAATTTGCATTACGTGGAGGAAATTGTCCCAAATGCATTTAGCTAACACTAGCATCCTGTTTTACAAATGGTGCAACTGATTCCTAGGGAAGAATTGTCTCAATATCAAATGGCATCAGTCAAATAGCTAGACTTAGAAATCAGACATTCCTTTTTTTTGTATGTCCCTTAAAAGAAGTTCTTTCCCAAATATGTAACTCTGCCCCCACAAACACATATAAAGAATGATAACAAAAAAATAACAGGGCTGGCCCCGTGGCTTAGCAGTTGAGTGCACGCGCTCCGCTGCTGGCGGCCCGGGTTCGGATCCCGGGCGCGCACCGATGCACCACTTCTCCGGTCATGCTGGGGCTGCCTCCCACATGCGGCAACTGGAAGGATGTGCAGCTATGACATACAACTATCTACTGGGGCTTTGGGGGTGTGTGTGGAATAAATAAAAAGAAAATCTTTAAAAAAAAGTAGTAAAAAAAAATAACAATAAGCCCCACTAGCTTGTGTTGAGTGCTTACTACATGCCAGACACTGTGCTAAGAATTTTACACATGTAATGATATTGAATTCTTATCAACCAATGAAGTGGATACTAAGCCAACTTGAAATATGGGAAATCTAGACTCAGCACACAAAATTGAAACGACTCACACATGCTATTATGCAGTTGAGCCACGAGTCATATCCACAACTGAATGATTCCATATCCCATGCTCCTAATCACTGCTTCCAACATAGACAATTTCTATCACCCATGTGCCCCCATCTAAACTTCCTCCTGAGCTGCAGTGTCACCAATGTCATCCATTGTCTTTGGAAGCCACTTTGACTATGAGGACAAGCAGTTCCTGAAGCTGATGTGGATGATCAGTGCGAGTTTCATGGAGATGAACACACCTTGGACACAGGTGCCCAATAATCACATCTCTACCCACCCCTGACCTCAGTTAACTAAGCACCTGCCTAGACCTCACTTGATCCTCTCCACAATGCTTAGAGGAAAGTATAAATATGCTCTGAGTCTCTAAGAAGCAAATGGACTCACCAAATTCTCAAACTCTTGGCTGGACTTTTAGACCAGCTGTCTGACTCCAGGCTCAGTGATGCTGGCCCCTGGTGCCCATCCCTGACAAATCCCCTTTGCCTATTTCCCACAGCTCTAACATATGTATTCTGAAATCATGCAGTATTTGCCAGGAAGATACAATGACGTCTACTACTTGGTAGAGGAGCTGAAGGACTTCATTGTCTCTAGGATCAAGATCAAGGAAGCATCCCTTGAGTCGCCCAAACCCTTGGGACTTCATTGACTGCTTCCTCATCAAGATTCAACAGGTACTACTCTCCTTTCCCAACCCTTCCCTCTCATCTACTAGTGCCTGCCACCCTAAGCCTATTTTTAATCCTGTTTTGGACAAAATAGCAATTATAGTTTTACATGGTTACTTATATCGAGAGATAATATGTAGAAACTGTAAAAGTCTAACCTCTTTGAATATCTTTAAATAAAACTTTGAATCCTGAAAAGTGAATGGTGCTCCAATGAACATGGGAGTGCTAACATCTCTTTGAATTCCTCGTTTCCTTTCTTTTGGATACATACCCCAAAGTGGGATTGCTGGATCATATGGTAGTTCCATTTTTAATTTTTTCAGAATTCTCGATACTGTGTCCATGCTAGCTGCAGCATTTTGCATTCCCACCAACAGTGTACAAGGGTTCCAATTTCTTCATGTGTTCAACACTTGTCATCTTTTGATTTAAGAATAGTCATCCTAATAGGTGTGAAGTGATTTCTCATTGTGCTTTTGATTTGCATTTCCCTGATGATTAGTGATGTTGAATATCTTTTCATACACCTGTTGGCTATTTGTTTACCTTCTTTGCAGAAATGTCTATTCAAGACCATAGCTCCTTTTTAAATCAGGTCATTAGTTTTTTGCATAGAGTTGTAGGAGTTTCTCTTATACTCTGCATATTACCCCCTTCTCAGATATACAGTTTGCAAATATTTTCTCCCAATCTGTAGGTTGACTTTTAATTTTGTCGATTGTTTCCTTTCCTGTGCAGAAGCTTTTTAGTTATGTAGTCCCACTTGTCTACTTTTGCTTTTGTTGCTTGCATTTTTGGTGTTCTATTCATGAAGTTATTAGCAAGTCCAATGTCATAAAGTTTTTCCACTATGTTTTCTTCTAGAAGTTCATAGTTTCAGATCTTACTTTTAGGCCTTTAACCTATTTTGAGTTGATTTTTGTGTATGGTGTAAGATAAGGGCCCAATTTCATTCTTTTGCATGTGGATATCCAGTTTTCCCAAAACTATTTGTTGAAGACTGTCTTTTCCTCATAGTGTATTCTTGGAGCCCATTTTGAAGATCATTTGACCATATAAGTGTCGATTTATTTCTGGGCTGTCTATTCTCCTCCATTGATCTGTATGTCTGTCATTATGCCAATATCATACTGTTTCAATTACTGTAGGTTTGTAATATATTTTGAAATCATGAAGTGTGATGCCTCCAACTTGGTTCTTCTTTTTCAAGACTGTTTTGGCAATTTGGGGTCTTTTGTGGTTCCACATAAATTTTAGAATTTGGGTTTTTTTTTCCTATAAAGAATATCATTGGGATAACATTTGGATTGATTTGAATCTGTAGACAGCTTTGGGTAGTATGGATATTTTAACAATATGAAGTTTTCCAATCTATGAACGCGAGATATCTTTCCATTTGTTTGTGTCCTCTTTTTTTTTTTTTTTGAGGAAGATCAGCCCTGAGCTAACATGCGTGCTAATCCTCCTCTTTTTTTTTTTGCTGAGGAAGACCGGCTCTGAGCTAACATCTATTGCCAATCTTCCTCCTTTTTTTCCCCAAAGCCCCAGTAGATAGCTGTATGTCATAGTTGCACATCCTTCTAGTTGCTGTATGTGGGACACGGCCTCAGCATGGCCGGAGAAGTGGTGCGTCGGTGCACGCCGGGGATCCGAACCCGGGCCGCCAGCAGCGCAGCGCGCGCACTTAACCGCTAAGCCATCGGGCCGGCCCTGTTTGTGTCCTCTTTAATTTTTTTCAACGTTTTGTAATTTTCAGTGTAGAAGTCTTTCACTTCCTTTGTTAAGTTTATTCCTAGATATTTTATTCTTTTGGATGCTATTGTATATAGTATAGTTTTTTTAATTTCCTTCTGGATAGTTCATTACTAGTGTATAGAAACACAATGGATTTTTGTTTGTCGATTTTGTGTCCTACAACTTTCCTAAAATTACTTGATTTAACAGTTTCTTGTGGTGCCGTTAACGTTTTCTAGATATGAGAGCATGTCATCTGCAAACAGAGTCCATTTTAATTCTTTCTTTCTGATTTGAACACTTTTATTTCTTTTTCTTGCCTAATTGCTCTGACCAGGATTTCCAATACTATGTTGAATAGAAGTGATGAGAGTGGGCATCCTTGCCTTGTTCCTAATCTTAGTGGAAAAGCTTTCAGTTTTTCACCATTGAGCATGATGTTAGCTGTAGGCTTTTCATATATGGTCTTTATTATGTTCAGGTTATATCCCTCTAGTCTGTTTGTTGAGTTTTTGTCATAAAAGGATGTTGAATTTTATTAAAGGCTTTTCTGCATCTATTAAGACAATCCTGTGATTTTTATCCTTTCATCTGTTAATGTGATGTATCACATTATTTGATTTTCATATGTTGAACCATATTTGCAACCCAGGGATGAATACCACTTGATCGTGGTGTGTAATACTTTTGATGTGCTGTTGAATTCAGTTACTCGTATTTTGTTGAGGATTTTTGCATCTACATTCATCAGGTATATTGACCTGTTTTTTTCTTTTCTTGTGATGTCTTTGTCTGGCTTTGATATCAGGGTAATGGTGGCCTCATAAAATGGGTTTGGAAGTGCACCTTCCTGTTCAATGTTTTGGGAGAGTTTGGGAAGTATTGGCACTAATTCTTCTTTCAATGTTTAAATGTAGAACTCATCAGTGAAGCCATGTGTTCCTGGGATTTTCTTTGTTTGGAGATTTTTGTTTACTGATCCAATCTCCTTCCTCATTATAGGTTTGTTCAAGTTTTCTATTTCTTCATAATTCAGTCTTGGTAGATTGTGTGTTTCTAGGAATTTATCCATTTCTTCTAAGTTATCATTTCATTGGTATATAATTGTTCATAGCAGTCTCTTATGATCCTTTTTATTTCTGTGGTATCAGTTGTAATGTCTCGTACTTCTGATTGTATTTATTTGGGTCTTCTCTCCCTTTTCTTAGTGTAGCTAAAGTTTTGTCAATTTTGTTTGTCTTTCAAAAAACCAACTCTTAGTTTGCTGATTTTTACTATTGTTTTTCTACTCTCTACTTTGTTTCTCCTCTTTTTTTTCCTCCCTTCCATTAACTTTGAGTTTAATTTGTTCTTCTCTTTCTAGTTCTTTGACGTATAAACTTAGGTCATTTTTGGAAATCATTCTTCTTTTTAAATGTAGGCATTTGTGCTAATAACTTCCCTCTTAGTTCAGCTTTTGCTGCTTCCCATATGTTTTGGTATGTTGTGTTTTCACTTTTATTTGTCTGAAGATATTTTCTAATTTCCCTTTTGATTTTCTTTGGCTCATTGTTTGTTCAAAAGTGTGTTGTTTAATTGCCACATAGTAGTGTATTTTCCAGTTTCCTTCTGCTATTGATTTCTTTTCATTCCATTTTTGCTGGAAAAGATACTTGATATTATTACAATGTTATTAAATTTTAAGACTTGTTTTGTGACCTAACATGTGACCTATCCTGGGAAATATTTCATGTGCAGTCTAGAGATTGTATATTCTGCAGTTGCTGGGTTGAATGTTCTATGTGTTTGGTAGGTAACTTTTTTCTATAGTGTTATTGATGTCCACTGTTTGTTGATTTTCTGTCTGGTTTTTCTATGTATTATAGAAAGTAAGGTATTGAGATCTCCTACTACTTAACTGCCATCTACTTCTCCCTTCAATTCTGTCAATGTTTGCTTGACATATTTAGGTGCCATGATGTTGGGTGCATTTTTATTTATAATTATTATATCTCCCTGGTGGATTGTTTCTTTTATAATTATATAATGTCCTTCTTTGCCTCTTATAAGAGTTTTTGAGTTAAAGTCTATTTTCTCTGATATAGGTATGGCCACCCCTGTTCTCTTCTGGTTATCATTTTCATGGAATATATTTTTCCATTCCTTCACTTTCACCTTATATGTGACCTTAATTCTAAAGTGAGTCTCCTGTAGACAGCATGTAGTTGGATCTTGTTTTTTTTTTTTTAATTTTTTTGTGAGGAAGATCAGCCCTGAGCTAACATCCATGCTAATCCTCCTCTTTTTGCGGAGGAAGACCGGCTCTGAGCTAACATCTATTGTCAATCCTCCTCCTTTTTTCCCCAAAGCCCCAGTAGATAGTTGTATGTCATAGTTGCACATCCTTCTAGTTGCTGTATGTGGGACATGGCCTCAGCATGGCTGGAGAAGCAGTGCGTCAGTGAGCGCCTGGGATCTGAACCCGGGCCGCCAGCAGCGGAGCATGCGCACTTAACCACTAAGCCACGGGGCTGGCCCAAATCTTGTTTTTTTTTAATCCTTTGAGCCAAATCTATGTCTTTTTATTGGAGAGTTTAATCCACATATATTAAAAGTAATTGTTGTTTGGAAAGGATTTATTTTTGCACTTTGTTATTTGTTTTCTGTTTGTCTTGTATTTCTTTTGTCCCTCTTTTCCTCTCTGGCTCTCTTCCTTTGTGTTTCATTGCCTTTGTTTTTGTATTGACATGATTTGATTTATCTCTCTCTCTCATTTTGTACGTAACTGCTATAGGTGTTTTCTTTGTGATTATCATGGGGTTTACGTAAAATATCTTATAACCGTCTATTTTAAGCTGATAACATCTTAACTTCAATTGCATAGAAAAACTCGACACTTTTACTTCTCCCCTTCCCACAATTTGTTATTGATATCTCAGTTTACATTTCTTTATGTTGTGTAACTATTAAAATATTTTAGTTATATTTGTTGGTAATACTTTTATCTTTTAACTATTATGCTAAAGTTAAAACAGTGATTTACTCATCACCATTACAGTAATACAGTATTCTGTATTTGTCTATATATTTACCGTTACCAACAAGTTTTACTTTCCTATGCTACTGTGTTGTTGTTTAGTGTCCTTTCATTTCAAGTTGAAGAACTCCCTCTAGCATTTCTTTTGAGGCAGATCCAGTCACGACAAAATCTCTCAGCTTTTGTTGGTATGGGAAAATTTTTATCATTTGTTAAAGACAATTGTGTGGAGTATAGTATTCTTCGTTGGTAGTTTTTCTGTCAACACTTTGTCTATATTATCCCACTTCCTTTGTGCCTGTAAGTGTTCTGCTGAAAAACTCACATAATAGTGTAATGGGGGTTTCCTTGTAAATGATAAGTCACTGTTCTCTTGCTAGTTTTCAATTTCTATTTGTATTGGACTTGTGACAACTTGATTATACTGTGTCTTGTTGTGGATTTCTTTGAGTTTGTCTTACTCAATATTCTATGGGCTTTTTGGGTGTGTATGTTCATTTCCTTCCCCAGGTTTGGGAAGTTTTCAGCCATTATTTCTTTTCCGTTCTTTTTTTTTTTCTCTTTTGTCCTCTAAGTGGATAATTTAAAATGACTTCATTTTTTTTCAATTATTTTATTGTGGTCATAGAAGTTTACAAAATTGTGTAATTTGGGGTGTACATTATTATTTATCAGTTTCTGTATAGACTGCATCATGCTCACCACCAATAGTCTAATTTTTGTTCATCACCATGCATATGTTCCCCTTTACCCCTTTTGCCCACCCTCCAACCTCCTTTCCCTCTGGAAACCACTGATCTGTTCTCTTTATCCATGTGTTTGTTTATCTTTCACATATGAGTGAAATCACGTGGTGTTTGTCTTTCTATGTCTCACTTATTTTGCTTAACTTCATACCCTCAAGGTCCATCCATGTTGTTGCAAAAGGGACCACTTTGTCTTTTTTATGGCTGAGTAGTGTTCCATTGTGTGTATATATATATATACACCATATCTTCTTTACCCATTCATCAGTTGATGGGAAATAGGGTTGCTTCCACATCTTGACTATTGTGAATAATGTTGCAGCGAACATAGGGGTGCATTAATCTATTTGAACTATTGATTTTAAGTTCTTTGGATAAATGCCCTTTAGTGGGATAGCTGGATCATACGGTATTGCTATTTTTAATTTTTTGAGAAATCTCCATACTGTACTCCATAGCGGCTGCAGCAGTTTGCATTCCCACAAGCAGTGTATGAGGGTTCCCTTTTCTCCACATCCTTTTCATTGTTATTTTTTTGTTGTCAATTATGGCCATTCTGACAAGTGTAAGGTGATATCTCATTGTAGTTTTGATTTACATTTCCATAATAATTAGGGATGTTGAACATCTTTTCACGTGCCTGTTGGCCATCTGTATATCTTCTTTAGAAAAATGTTCATATTCCCTGCCCATTTTTTGATTGGATTGTTTGTTTCTTTGTTGTTGAATTGTATGAGTTCTTTATATATTTTGGAAATTAACCCAATGTCAGATGTATGATTTACAAATATTTTCTCCCAGTTGGTGGTTGTCTTTTCATTTTGTTCATGGTTTCCTTTGCCTTGCAGAAGCTTTTTAGTCTGATGTAGACACATGTATTTATTTTTTCTTTTGTTTACATTGCCAGAGTATAAATGGTATTTGAAAAGATGCCGCTGAGACCAATGTCAAAGAGTGTGCTAACTATATTTTCTTCTAAGAGTTTTATGGTTTTTGGTGTTACATTCAAGTCTTTAATCCATTTTGAGTTAATTTTTGTGTATGGTGTAAGATAATGGTCTACTTTCATTCTTTTGCATGTGGCTGTCCAGTTTTCCCAACACTATTTATTGAAGCAATTTTCCCTTCTCCACTGTATGTTCTTGGCTCCTTTGTCAAAGATTAGCTGTCCATATACATGTGGTTTTATTTCTGGGCTTTCACTTCTGTTCCATTGATCTGCATGTCTCTTTTTGTGCCAGTACCATGCTGTTTTGGTTACTATAGCTTTGTAGTTTATTTTGAAGTCAGGGATTGTAATACCTCCAGCTTTGTTCTTTTTTCTCAGGATTCCCTTAGCTATTCAGGGTCTTTTGTTGTTCTATATAAATTTTAGGATTCTTTGTTCTATTTCTGTGAAGATTGTCATTGGGATTCTGATTGGGATTGCATTGAATCTGTAGATTGATTTGGGTAATATGGACATTTTAACTATGTTTATTCTTCCAATCCATGTGAATGGAATATCTTTCCATTTCTTTATATCTTCTTCGATTTCTTTCAGTAGTGTCTTATAGTTTTCAGTGTCTAGGTCTTTTACCTCTTTGGTTAAATTTATTCCTAGATATTTTATTCTTTTATTTGTGATTGTAAATGGGATTGTGTTCTTTAGTTCTCTTTCTGCTAGTTTGTTATTAGTGTATAGAAATGCAACTGATTTTAAGTTGATTTTGTAGCGTGAAACTTTGCTGTAGTTGTTGATTATTTCTCATAGTTTTCAGGTGGACTCTTTAGGGCTTTCTATATATAGGATCATGTCATTCACAAATGGTGAGAGTTTCACTTCTTCCTTTCCAATTTGGACACCTTTCATTTCTTTTACTTTCCTAATTGCTCTGGCCAAAACCTCCAGGACTATGTTGAATAGAAGTGGCCAGAGTGGGCACCCTTGTCTTGTTCCTGTTCTCAGAGGATGGACTTCATTTTTTCACCATTGAGTATGATGTTAGGTGAGAGTTTGTCAGGTATGGCCTTTTTTATGTTGAGGTACTTTCCTTCTATCCCATTTTATTCCAAATTTTTATCATAAATGGATGATGGATCTTGTTAAATGCTTTCTCTGCATCTATTGAGATGATCATGTGATTTTTATTCCTCATTTGTTAATGTGGTGTATCACATTGATTTGCAGATGTTGAACCATCCCTGCATCTTTGGTATAAATCCCACTTGATCATGGAGTATGATCCTTTTACTGTATTGCTGTATTTGGTTTGCTGATATTTTGTTGAGGAGTTTTGCATCCATGTTCATCAGTGATATTGTAATCTTCATTCTTTGTGTTGTCTTTGCCTGGTTTTGGTGTCAGGGTAATTTTGGCCTCATAGAATGAGTTAGGAAGCATTCTATCTTCTTCAATTTTTTGGAATAGTTTCAGAAGGATAGGTATTAAACTTTCTTTGAATGTTTGGTAGGATTCTTCAGTGAAGCCATTTGGTCCTTGGCCTTTGTTTTTTGGGAGGTTTTTGATTACTGTTTCAATCTCTTTACTTGTGATTGGTCTATTCAGGTTCTCTATTTCTTCTTGATTCAGTTTTGGGAGGTTGTATGAGTCTAAGAATTTATCCATTTCTTCTAGGTTATCCAATTTGTTGGCATATAGTTTTTCCTACTATTCTCTTATAATCCTTTGAGTTTCTGTCATATTCATTGTAATTTCTCCTCTTCCACTTCTAATTTGATTTATTTGAGCCTTCTCTCTTTTTTTTTCTTTGTGAGTCTGGTTAAAGGTTTGTAGATTTTGTTTATCTTCTCAAGGAACCAGCTCTTAGTTTCATTGATCCTTTCTAGTATTCTTTTAGTCTTTATTTCATTTATTTCTGCTCTAATGTTTGTTATTTCCCTCCTTCTGCTGACTTGGGCTTTGTTTGCTTTTCTTTTTCTAGTTCTGTTAGGTTTAGTTTAAGACTATTAACTGAGATTTTTCTTACTTTTTGAGGTGGGCCTGTATTGCTATGGGCTTCCCTCTTAGAACTTCTTTGGAGCCGGCCCCGTGGCTTAGCGGTTAAGTGCCCACACTCTGCTACTGGCGGCCTGGGTTTGGATCCAGGGCGCGCACCGATGCACCGCTTCTCCGGCCATGGTGAGGCTGAGTCCCACATACAGAAACTAGAAGGATGTGCAACTGTGGCATACAACTATCTACTGGGGCTTTGGGGGAAAAAAGGAGGAGTATTGGCAATAGATGTTAGCTCAGAGCCAGTCTTCCTCAGCAAAAAGAGGAGGATTAGCATGGATGTTAGCTCAGGGCTGATCTTCCTCACAAAAAAACAAAAGAGTCAAAAACTTCTTTTGCTGCATCCAGTGAGTTGGCATGTTTTATTTTCATTTTCATTTGTCTCCAGGCATTTTTTTGATTTTTACTGTTTTTTTCATTGATTCAACGTTTGTTCAGTAGTATGTTGTTTAGTCTCCACATATTTATGTCTTTTCTAGTCCTGTAGTTTATTTCTAGTTTCATCATATGGTGATCAGAAAAGATGCTTGATATGATTTCAATCTTATTAAATTTTTTATGGCTTGCCTTGTTCCCCAACATATGGTCTATCTTTGAGAATGTTCCATGTGCTCTTGAGAGGAATGTATATTCTTCTGTTTTTGGATGGAATGTTCTATATATCTATTTGGTCCATCTTATCTAGTGTTTCATTTAAATTCACTATTTCCTTGTTCACTTTCTGTATGGATAATCTACCATTGATGTAAGTGGGGTGTTGAGGTCGCCTACTGTTATCATGTTGCTGTTAATTTCTCCTTTATGTCTGTTAATAGTTGCTTTATATATTTTGGTTCTCCTGTGTTAGATGCATATATATTGATAAGTGTTATGTCCTCTTGGTGGAATTTCTCTTTTATCATTATATACTGCCCTTGTTTGTCTCTTATTGTATTTTTAATCTTGAAGTTTGTTTTGTCTGATATAAGTATGGCAAGATCTACTTTCTGTTGTTTGCCTTTTGCTTGGTGTATAGTCTTCCATCCCATCACTCTGACACTATGTTTGTCTTTAGAGCTGAGATGGAGGCAGCATATTGTTGCTTCTTGTTTTTTATTCCATCCAGCTACTTTCTGCCTTTTGATTGGAGAATTCAATACATTTACATTTAGAGTGATTGTTGATATATGAAGGCTTAATACTGCCATTTTATCTCTTGTTTTCCAGTTGTTTTATATTCCCACTGTTTCTCTTCCCTTGTATTTATGACTGCCATTTCAGTTTGGTGGTTTTCTGTGATGGTTTTTTCTTTATTTACGAATTGTGGCTGTGCTCAGATTTTTTGTTTAGTGATACCACGAGGTTTGTATAAAAGGTCTCATAGATGAGATAGTCCATTTTCTGATAGCCTGTTATCTCCATTAACCTAAGCAGGTTCCATCCTTTGCCTCTTCCCCTTCTGAGTTATTGTCACAAATTATTCTGTTTTGTGCTGTGAGTCTGTGACTAAGTTGAAGTGTTTATAGTTATTTTTGGTGGTTTCTTTCCTTCTATCTTTTATGTTATAATTAAGTGTTTGCTAACTTGTTCTGATAGAAGCTGCAATTTTCTGATTTTTTTTGAGTATTTATCTCCTTGCTCAAAGCTTTGTAAACCTTTGCCTTTCTGTTTCAGGTAGGAGGTCTTCCTTCAACATTTCTTTTAAGGCAGGTCTAGTGGCAATGTGCTCCCTAAGCTTTTGTCTTTCTGGGAAAGCTTTTTTTTCTCCATCATATCTGAAGGATAGTTTCACTGGATAGAGTACTCTTGGCTGAAAGTTTTTGACTTTCAGTATTTTGAATATATCATTCTGTCCTTCTAGCCTGTAAGGTTTCTGCTGAGAAATCCACTGAAAACCTGATAGTGGTTCCTTTGTAGGTTATTTTCTTCTGCCTTGTTGACCTTAATATTTTTTCTTTGTTGGTCACTTTTGCCAGTTTCATTATTATATGCCTTGGAGATGTAAAAAAAAATACATTTTGCATTGATGTGAATAGGAGTTCTGTTGGCTTCATGTGATTGTAAGTCCAGTTCCTTCCCCACGTGTTGGAAATTCTCAGCTATTATTTCCTTGAAAAACTCTCTGCTCCTTTCTCCCTCTATTCTCTCTCTGGCATACCTTTAATCTTTATGTTACATTTCCTAAGTGAGTTGGATATTTCTTGAAGAATTTCTTCATTTTTAAAAAATCTTAGTTTTCTCTCCTCATCCACCTGAAGCTTTCCTATATTTCTATCTTCTAAATCACTAATTCTGTCCTCCATATTGTTAGCTCTATTGTTTAAGGATTATAGATTTTTAAAAATCTCATTAATTGTGTTCTTCATCTCCAGAATTTCTGTTTGATTTTTTTTTTTTGTAAGGAAGATCACTCTGAGCTAACATCCATGCCAATTTTCCTCTTTTTGCTAAGGAAGACTGGCCCTGGGCTAACATCCATGCCCATCTTCCTCTACTTTATATGGGACGCCACCACAGCATGGCCTGACAAGTGGTGCATCAGTGTGCTCTCAGGATCCGAACCCCAGGCCGCCAGCAGTGGAGCATGTGCACTTAACCACTACTCCATGGGGCTGGCCCCTATTTGATGTTTTTTGTAGAGTTTCAATCTCTTTGGTGAATTATCCCTTCTGCTCATTACTTTCATTCCTGAGTTCATTGAATTGTCTTTTTGAGTTTTCTTGCAGCTTGTTGAATTTCTTTATGACAACTATTTTGAATTCTGTTATTTAGATTGTAAATTTCTGTGACTTCAGGATTGATTTCAGGAGACTTGTTATTTTCATTCTGCTCTGAAGTGTTACTGTAGTTTTTCATAGTGTTTGATGAACTGATCCTTTGCTGGGGCATTTGCAGTAGTATCAGGTCACAGATTTCACCTGCCAACTCTGGTGGGGGTGGGGGCGGGCAGGAGTTGTGTTTTCTGAACCTGTTGTGTGTGCTGCAAGTTGTGCTGGTAGAGTTTACCTGCATTTGCCCAGTGGCCGCAGCCACTTGGTGGGTCACATGTGCATGTGCAGGTGCTCTGGTGCATGACTGCTGCCTTGGCAGGGGACTAGCTGAGCTGGTGTGCTAGGCAGGAGGGGAGGGGTGCTTTCTTGGAAGCATGTGGGATGGCTCTGCACTCACGGGTTGTTCAGCTGATCTGCTGCACTTGGTGGGGGCTCCTTCCTGGAGGCTGAGCCATGCCACTCAGTGGAGATCATTTCAATGGGTGGGGCCTCTGGGGCATGGTGGGTGCTCCCCCGGCCAGGCTGCAACTCCAAAAGCAAAAGCATTCAT